GTTAGACACTGAAGAAATTTCCATTGCTTGTTAAGACACAAACTTAAATCAAAAAACAACTATTAATGAGTTATTTCATGAATTCCTACTGCATTACAGACTGACTCGTCCAAAGTAATTCATGCAGACAACGTGACGAAAAGTGAATGAGCAATGGAAGCAGAATCACAAGTTCCTTGTATTCATATCGCCTTTATGCCACATTATTGAATTACATTTTATTCATAAATCCGACCACGCTTCTTTGTTGTGACGAACCTGATTTCAGCCATTTTTAAATAACACTGATTTGTGTGTTGTAAAGATTACCTATTAATTTTTATTATAGGAAATAGAAATCTCTAATGATTAGCGCTGTCTGCAAATAAGAGACTTATAAGTACATTCTGTAACCTGCTATTTGATTGACTTATTAAATGTGATATTGATAACTAGGTCTAATTCTTTATTTCACGACTGATTTGTTTGTTTTTCAGAATTGTATGAATCAAATGAAGTCGTCAAAGCTTTGTGATGATGTTTACGCCGGTCTACAACTTATAGAATTTGTGATTATGGAAGACCATATTAAAATCATTTTTATTCAACAAATGAATTAGTGAAATATAAATATAGCAACTACACTTAGTGTCTTACGTTATAAACCGTGTCAGTATTTATTAATAGTCGATATGACGCTAGAACAAATATAGATAGAGAATAATATGAACTCCTTATAATCCATGGAATGAACAAGTAATAAGAAGGATTATGTAATAATTCATTTCACTTTTAAAATTTAGTTACGCATTTTTTCCATCACCCTGTCACTTAATCCTCTGTAATTACGTGACCTCTGCAAATTGTAATCAATTATGACGTAACTCAAGTTTTCAGTTCTTAAATCCACGGATCATTTACAAGCTATAAGAATTTCACACCACTTATCTGTCTGTGAACTGCAGTCAACTATTATATCACCCATTCTTAATGTGTTATTGACTGTAAAAGCAAATGACCTTTGACCTTACACTGCATATATATATGTATATATATATATATATATATATATATATATATATATATATATAGTCACTATTGATAACCTACGTCATTTCATTTATTCATATTCAGGTATGTCAACTGTTTCCCACATCACTGTTAAATCCTATTGCATATTTAGTTGTAATGATTGCATACCACTGTTATTCAACATTTCTCCTGGTTTTATTTTGATTCATAAGCGGAATTAATCACATGAACTTAAAATGTACATAGGTACTGATACGATTTTAATGATAAACGTAATCCCACGAAGGTGAATATGATATGTGGGTGCCTAATCTGCAAAACTGTACGTGGATGTAGGGTTTCTTAATTAATCTTAATTATTACAAACAGTTACACATGAACATCATTGCTATTCATTCCCATAAAAGTAGGAATAAGATGAAAATTGAAATTATGAAAGTTTATTGAAGAATCATTGCTGCAAAAGCAGAAAATCAAGTTTACAAGTTGGTATTAAGAATTCTTAAGTAATAATTGTCCACTTTCTTCTCAACTTCCGTTGCAAAACGTTCACCATACTTCTCAATGATGCAATGTTTATGGATTCTTTGGCTTCGTTGAATACTTACATACACTTCACTCCGTCGTGGTAATGCAGGTAATGTATAATTTTGGAAGTTCTGGGTATTGTGTAACTTCCATCTGCTACAATACCTAAGAAGTTGATGAGCTATGCAGTTAGTATTTCATAATTGATATAGCTTACCTGTAAGATTTCTTCTTTTAACGTAGGCAAGTAGCATGTGACGGCAGGGATATCGTAGAATCAATGCACACGACTTCTGGATATTTCCTATAGAGTTGTATTTGGTTATAACTACTGAAACATATTCTCGTCGCATATTCATTTTCTAAATGCTCCCTCACTTCGCCTTTTTGTCTAAGCATATCCATAACTTGCTTCCGAGTACAACAACCTGAAATATATTTATATACACTTACCAGTGGAGAGTGTAGCTTTCAGAACTTTGACATCGGCAGCAGTTACTTGCTTACCAGTTCTCTCCTTAATACTCTCGATAACTTCGTCTGCTGACTCACAGTGAAGTATTACGGGCTCCAAGTTCTCTTTTTCTTCTGACGATAATCTCCTTGTCCATGGATCACATACCATCCATGAACTACTACATGGACGATTGTGTATCATCTTGTAGGATTTGATTACATATCCTTGCTCTTCTAGTCTTACACGGAATTTAGATTGACAATTACGGAATTTAGACCTTAAACATAAGATATTAGTTAAAGATCTTACGATTTTTGCCTCACTTTCAAACCTCCCGATTTCCGTTTGTGACCAAACGTACAATTAAACGATACAAACAGGTATTTGAACCTGACATCCTTCAGCAATCTGCTTTCTGTGTGGATGTAACGAGTATAAGTAGTCTGAGAAGCGATAAAATTATAGTTCCATACTTTTTAGAACTCTTTTAAGGCGCTTTCAAAATCATCCCACAACACGAAACGATTGTTCAGTATCATACTTCGAAAGGCATCGGTTAAGTCGACTGAAATGTCACTTGAGGATGAAGCACTAAAAACAGACATGACTAATTATTAAACAGTTATTCCTTGCAACAATAATAATCCAAGGAAATAATACAAATACTTGAGATTTACCTGTGACTTGACATTTCGTTTAGCTTTACTACAATTGTTGGGATCAAAGATCAAATTACAAAGCAACAACAGAGCCAAAGTGCACACTACAAAACAGAGAACGCTAAATTAATGGTTTTGCTATTTATTTCGTGCTTTTTATGTAGCATAGGATGACTTATATATGAAAAAAATTGATACTCATGCAAACCAACCAACCCACGGCAATTGAAATACGGAATGACCGCCTCTAATCAAGCCGTTCAAGGTCGCTGAAACGAAAGGGCGGGCACATTTCAAAAGGACCTAACGTTTAAACCGTGCCATCACACTTTTAACCTGGCACGATCTCGGTATTCTTTTGACATCACGAGATCGCTAACAAGTACATCTCAATTACAGCCACCAACTGCCTTCTGATATTTGGCCTAAGGATGGATCTTATCGGTTAACTAGCACGTAGTCTTCCTGTAGTGGTGATCATAGTCAACCACGACTCGACGCCACACTACACATCTTGATGAACATGGGCAACTTTCAATAGTCATGTTCTTAGTTCAACTGACTCAAGATAAGTATGAATTTCCCCGTAACCAATTTTATAAACACTCGAACGATTGGAAATTAGTAAAACTCAGATTATTTATTACTATTTTAACCCAAGTATTCATTATTGTTTTAATTTCTCATCGCATGTATCCGATTCATTATGGGAAAAGAAAAATGGCCTTGATACATTTTCATGCATTGTAGCAACTGAATTTGCCTGATGGTTGAGTATACAATAAATAAAGGGGTCTACTTTTAAACAGACCAATATACTATATTCCACATAGTGCACTAATTCGTTCTTTTTCAAAGTTGAGCATACTTTCTGACTGATGTAAATATACAAATAGTTTCATATGGGGAATAGAGGTTAGGGAATTAAGACAGGTGAAATATTAACAGACAATAAAATTATATTATTTGATCCAAATACACATAACCATATTAAACTACGACTTTGTATTCATATAAAATTAATGAAATTTTTTTTTTTGAAATTTAAGATTGGTATCACCTCAGAGTTCTAATGCGAATTTAATTCACTGAACAGTTACACCATCAAATTAAATAAATGAATTGACGGGACGAAAGGAAGAGCGGTAAACAGCTAGTATGCTTAAAAACTAAGAAATCACGAGTTTCTTAATTATGAAATGTTGGTTGTCAAATGTCGACTTCTGGTGGAGTTTTGTTCTCTGAGCTGGATGGTTTGATTGTAGGGATTTCGTCGTTATTCTGGACGACATCATCAGTGAATTGTTCGAATTTCTCCTCATATGGCTCACAGATTGTCTTGTAGACCTCGATCTTGATTGGTTATTGTTAACCTTTAACTTGACATTGTTAACTTCTTTATTTCGATTGTATCTCCCATTCAGCTCAGAGAACAAAACTCCATCAAAATCATCCACCTGAGCTACAAATCTTCTTTACCATCTCACAAAGATGGTTGAAAAGTTTCTACTCATCTAACTAACTAATTTTTCAAATAATGTTGTTGATTTAAAATCGAAATAGATCGAGTTCTACTGAAGTATATACTGATTGGTAAAAGCAGTCATTTGTGTATAGGCCACTACGTTTTTATAAAAGTGGCAAACAACACATAACATTTTAACGACATTTATTAGATAGAAAGATGAACATAGTAAGCGGCGGTCATGTTTTTTTAATACTATGCACTCATTTTATTAGTTACGAGAATTTCTTGTTTAACGCTCCACTAAATACACGTAAGAAGTTGGGTGAGAAAATATTACTGAAACTGAATCCCATTCCTGTTTTGAATAAAAACAAAAATGTCTAATTCATTTCGGATATTTTAATGAAGGAGCCAGAATTTAAATTTGTGTACGGAACAAATCTATGTAAAGAATAAAATATTCTAACTGAAAATTGATCGTACATATATTCAGCTGAATGAAACAAAAACAATAAAATTGGTTATTAGTAAAACAAAATCACATTTAGTCATTTCTTCCTCTTTTTACGGGCATATACATATCGACATAATAATTACTTATTTACTTACACTTGTTAAACCTTGTGGAGGAGCGTTGAGTCCTTAAAGCACTCATTCAGGTCGTCATGAGTGTACATGTCTATTAGCTCCATATTATTTACTTAAGAATAATTAAATCGTTTATTCTTTTCTGTCCTGTTAATTAACTTGTGATTTATTCATTTGTTTAACTATTTGTTAACACCCACCAAACCTTCCATTCTCTATGTAATATGCTGTTCTGTATATGTTAACACATAGAATAACGCATCATAGACTTAAAGGATTTACATCTATGAATAAATCAAACTTGTATTAATTGATGAAAGAGTCTCTAATCAAAGTTTAACATTCGTTCAACTGTAATGATTAATTTATTTAATAAAATTAATTAATGGACGATTTAAAAATTGTATATTTTACAACATTTTCAGTGTGTTCAACATTTGAAAAGATTGAAAACGCGTTCAAGTAAACTTCAGTACCATTCAACTATTCAAGATAACCAATATCAACTATCATACGAAATGCTTAATTCAATGCAAGATCTAGGTTCAATCTCCTTAACTTTAAGTAATAATAATAATAATAATAATAATAATAATAATAATAATAATAATAATGCTATTAACTGTTCACAACTTCCTCAACGAAAAAACATTCTTTCATATAGAGATTATTTAGCCTTACCAATTGAAATACGTTATCCATACAATTACGTCAGTGATTTATTTGAAGATGCTCATCCTGAAAATGCTGACAGCAATCGGAATACTAATAATTATGAAGAGTAAATAATATAGTTATGTTAACATCTGAAAAAGGTAATAAACCAACTTTACTACATACAGATAATATATTAATCAATTGATTTCATTTTTTATCATTTCAATAGTGATGTGTTTATTTATATAAATAAAAAAAATTACATTTCACATTTGTCTAAACATTTTTCCATCTCTTTTGTTTCGTTTTTGTTAAAAGTACCACTGAGTATTTTGAACAGTGTTACTCCGCAACAGAACGAAACGACTAATTTACTGTTATACGTAATTGACACCAAATTCTAGTCGATATTTTAGAAATAATAAAGGAATTTGTAGTGGTTTTCATCTCAATACAATAACAAAAATTTTAAAAATCATAGAAATGGGCATAACGTTAGCCTACGGTAGGTTCGCGTATAGTCTGACAGTACCTTCTGTGCTGGAGGAGTGTTAGGAGAAGTAAGTGAAATTATCTAGAAGAAAAAAGAACAAGAGGAAATGTTTGCCGACGACTCAACAAGCACATTGAATGCACTTACATTTAAAAACAAAGGCAACTGACAACAATCAGAAATAAAACGAGTTTAAGATTATGACAATCTGATAATTGGGACAATAAGTTGATAGTGTAAGATTTCAAACGTGTTAGAGTTAAACTTCCTAACCTTACTTGCTTAGTTACTCTTGTTAAAGCTTGTGGAAGAGCACAGACCACTCACCAGCATTCTCCATCCAACTCTGTCCTGGGCAATTCTTTCCAGTTGCTATTCATCCATTCCCTGTCTGCTCCCAAGTTCTGACATTGTGTTCTTAGGCCTTCCCCTTCAGGATTCCAAGTTAGGGCTTTCCTTGTGGTGCAGATTGGTGATTTCCATAATGTATGTTCTATCCACTTTCAACGTCTTTTCTTAATTTCCTTTCAGATGGAAGCTGGTTTGTCCTCTCCCACAGTAGGCTGTTGCTGATTGTATCCGACCAACGGACATTGAGTATCTTGAGTAGACAACTGTTTATAAATACTTGTACCATTTTGATGATGGTTGTAGTAGTTCTCCACGTTTCAGCTCCGTACAGTAGGACTATTTCGACGTTCGTATTGAAGATATTCACTTTGATATTGGTTGACATTTGTTTTGAGTTCCATATCTTCTTCAATTGCAGGAATGCGGTTTTTCAGCTGTAGCTATTTTTGGGGTTAATTGTCTGTCCGGAGCCCATGAAAAGGTCGATGATTTGACATTTGCTCAGCAACTCCTCCCCGTAAAAACAACCTTACTAAAAAGAAGCTAACCAGAACAAATAAATGAGAATTCGTAATTGTTATTATTATTCAAATCACATCAACAAGTTGTCGTTAACATTGGCGCTTTTTTAGCTGCCCTTATATACAGTTCGCAATTACATTATTGGTTAAATATATATTCCAATAGTTGAAATCATGAGTCAATTGAAGCTAGACCACCATGGAAAACCTGGAAGCACTGGACGGTCGTTTCAACCTAGTTGTTGGGAGTTAACACCAATAAATGTTGGCTCAGTGGTCTAATGGTTAAGCGCTCGAACGCGAGACTGATAGGTCCTGGGTCCGAATATTGCGGGGGGCGGTGTCGTGGATGCGCACTGCTGAGGAGTCCCATACTAGGGTGGGACGGCCGTCCAGTGCTTCCAGATTTTCCATGGGGGTCTAGCTTCAATTGACTAATGATTTCAACTATTGAAATTACTAAAATATCCACAAAACCCCTTCTGAAAATATATATTCGACAATAGGTAACACTAAAATTCAAAGTACATATTTCATCCTTTTTCTGTGTTCATCATCATTTTATGTAACTGTGTGTCTGAATCTTAAATTCGTTCCTGAATGTCGACATGTTCAGAAGTGCAAGCTCTTGTAAGGCTAAATAACTGACAGCTATCCCGACTTACTAGCTTGGCATATATCAGCCTAGCGTTTTCGGTCATAAGTATTAGATTTTGGTCCCATTAAATATACAGATACAGGTTCATTCATCTGATAAGTCCTAAATCGGATTGACTTCATCAAACTAATCTTAGATTTATCAGCTCTAATATCTCACACAAAAGTAGTCATCGTATGAACTGATCCATATGAACATTTCATATATATATAAATTTTGGTCTAATCGCTTTCATTGTAATTGGAAATTAATTATAACTAAATCGAGTGTTTATTTGAAATAAATCTCAGAAATTATTTTCATTCAACCAATTGGAAATGCTGCAACATATCTATGAATAAGAAATATTTTAGAGATATGAGGACTTTTAGTGTTAACCAACTAATATCAATGAAATAATAACTACAGTTTACTAATACATTTGTCACTAAACATGTTCATAAGTAAAAAAGAATCTCATGGTATTTCCCTTTAAATTATGATATAGAACATAATCAACCAAGGATTAAAGAAATCAAATTTTAGAAATAGAGATATTTTCTGAAATAAACTTCAGTTTCAGTTAATAGGTCACGTTTCATTGCATTGTTCATCAGTGGAGTAGTTTACTTATTTTCAGTATTGATTTGATTTGTACCACCTCCAGATGTACATGTTTCTTTGTTAGATCGTTGTATACTTTTTTATTAACTTAATACCTGAGAGTAAAACATAACCCGTCTACCTTTTCATGAATCAAATCCCCATCCTTAAATTTTGAGTGAACGTCATCACCAATCCAAATTTGTTCATACGCAAAATGATATGAAAACTATTCGTAACTACTGGTTACAAACAAGTAGTATAGGTTGAAAACCGAATATTTCAGGACGTTGATGACTGAATGGTATAAATGAATGTCAGCTATGACGCAGACGAAGTTTCTTAAACATCGGTCATGAAGTATTAAGAATAGATTATACCTAAAAATATTTGTCAAAAGTTCAGTGATCGAAATCTCCCCATTTCACTAGGTCACTCAAGAACCAGTAGGTACATACCCGATATCTTGATACTGAATAGTTATAAATAATCAATCCTATGCTTGAGGCAAAAGCTTCGTGTTTGTATTAACTGTAGTTAATGTTGACCAACTTTGGGACTTATTATAAGACTGAAAAATTGATATTTGAAGATGAAATCGTATCTGTAGACAAAAGTTGGCTAAACGATTAATTAAATGGTTTGAAGCTATGAGATATTCGTTTTTCTGAACATTTAAATATTTAATTTTTCTATTGAAAATGTACTTCTGTTTATTTGACTGTCGATTAATGATTATTTCTCAACTTTCTGCCCACTTCGAATCTCTCATTGGCTTACTTGCTTTCCACTCTGGAATAAGCCTGCATCTGAATATATTTCTCTAATTATCTTTTTGATTCCTTATTCAGCACAGTCTGAAAAAATAGTGTATCAGTAGTTTAAGACATTTAAGTACTGTCACTGTTATAACCCAGTGAAGATTATGTTACAGGTAACTTCCGAGGACTGTTAATAGACTAATATTCTATAAATATTGTTATTGTATAATTATTCAATAATTACATTATATGTATTTATACTCCCTTAATTATAAGCTTTATTTTGACCTATAATTTATTATTATACGATTTACGGTTCTTAATCTATGTTCAGTCTATTAATTACTATCTCCCGCGTTTACATCCACTTTTTGGCTTATTTAATGTACACATGCTATTTTCTATTTTATGGTAGGGTGCGGTCTGGTTGATTGGTATATAAAGAGTATGTTTGAAATACATATATTCATATTGCGTAAGCTGGTATTGCGTTTTATTTGGACTCAAGCAGACGGGCTAGAGGGACCTCGGACCAACTAGGCGCCGGTTGAACGTCATTGGTTGGCATAGAGTGAAGATTTGTATAAGTTGTATTCTGATTGGTGAATAATTCGCGTGGTAGAAAGGTCACACATCAAGGTCATAACAGTCACAGCATCCACAAACTATTTGACTTTAAAATGCTCATGGTCTTACTGTTAGGACCATATCTTTTGGACGGCATTTGAACGAATTTTTAAGTGGCCTTGAAACTATTAGCCAATCAGAAGACTTAGTATAAAGTGAAAACAAAAAACCTATGAATTACAGCGGATATTCTTCTTTTACATTATTTAAAAACTTGTTAAGGTTAGATAAAGTTTCAGATGTCCTGAAATCATAGTGCATGGGGTTAGGGTTAAGGTTAGGGTTTAGGGTTAGAATTGGGGTTTAGGTTAGGGTTGAGGTTTAGGATTAAGGTTGGGGGTTAGGTTAGGGTGCACAAATCGAAGTCTATGGAGGCATCTATACGTTTTCCAATCATTGGCATATATCGTACTGCCAGGCTGCACGTACTGTAACATCCGCAAAAGCCACAGCCAATGTTACTGGTGACTTCATAATCCAATTTGAAACAATTATCATGATTTGCCTTAGTCTGAGTCGTGATCGAGCGAAGAAAGTGCCAGTTCAAGCAGATTTTATCTGCTAAAATATAGTATAACGAAATCTAATGTCATCACGGTAGTCTGCACATCTTGTTGCAGTCATTTGATTGCCGCAGTCACAGATACAGGAACTTCTTAATAGTCCCATATGTTGTAGTCGCTCAAAAATCACCTCTTCTCCAAAATCTGCTGTAAAACGATCAAATGTGAGCATCTCGTATCGAACATAGCGCCGTGACCTTGAAATTCCTCAAACCCTTCTGATTGACTCGTCCATAAATTAGAGTCTTACCGTCTTACTTCATTATGATCTAATGGTATTGATGCTAATGAAATATGTGTCCTACTTACTCCACACATATTCCGTCGATAAATCCCGTTAATAATAACGTAGATATAAAATGTTGAGTACAAAATATTTGAGGTGCCTATATTTCAGACATTCAGTAATGCAGTCGGACGATAAGAGACGAAGAAAATGCATGTTAACAGGAAAGCAGAAATAAACAACTCTAAGTGACTTAATGTTTATAAAACACGAGAGAAATACAAGTAGATACACCAACACAAACGTACTACCATACATGTAAATTGCATGATCAAGCTTAAATTTG